GTTTTTAACAAGGAAGTCGAAAAATAGGTCACTTTTTACCAAAAATGACAAAAATATTCACCAAAATTAGAGAATTGAAGATATCATCACAAAATGAACAAATCTGAGAGAGGTCCACATGTAGTACCTATATATGTAATATCAAAGCAATCGGACTTGCGGTTTTTAACAAGAAGTCGAAAATATCACTTTTTACCAAAAATGACAAAAATATTCACCAAAATTAGAGAATTAAGGATATCATTACAAAATGAACAAATCTGAGAGAGGTCCACATGTAGTACCTATATATGTAATATCAAAGCAATTGCACTTGCGGTTTTTAACAAGAAGTCGAAAATATCACTTTTTACCAAAAATGACAAAAATATTCACCAAAATTAGAGAATTGAAGATATAAAGATGAAATGAACAAACCTCAGAGAGGTCTACCCAAGGTACATATACACCAAGTATCAAAGCATTCAGGCTTGTAGTTTTCAAGAAGAAGTCGAAAAAGTAAAACATTGACACGGACGACGACTGAGGACAATCACTCATATGATAAGCTCCGCTCGACAAAGTCGACAGCGGAGCTAAAAAGTAAAACATTGACACGGACGACGGACAATCACTCATATGATAAGCTCCGCTCGACAAAGTCGACAGCGGAGCTAAAAAGGTTATTTATGCACCAAATTCTACATTTTAATCTAACTTTGGATGAAAATAGATTTATTGCACAAATTATCTAATTAGTATGCAAAACTTAGCAAGTGAATCTTGTCAATAACTATTTAAAGAAATTGCTGGGGGTAAAAGGTAATAATTATTACAATATAAACATCCTACTAAGAACACTGTCATGTGAATATCAAGATTGAATATCACTACTCTACAGGATCTTGTAACGGGTTGTCAGACTGTGCTTTAAAAATATTTCTGATGAAAACTGACAGCTACAATACGCACTCCTAGCAAAGTTACCCAATATTACGAATAACATGCAAAATAATTAAATTCTTAAAAAAGAAACTCAGCAATGATTTTTTCCAGATTTCAATTTCACTCCAACATTGTATCCACAAATAATGCAAGCATTAAAACCGCACAAAGAGCCTCATCACCTACTCTCAAAGGATGGCGAAAGGATAAAAAAAAAAAAAGACCTTGATAGTTTCTTACGGTTTTCTACATTTTTAAATACAAACGGCAGTTATATTAAATTTAAGCTTTAGGCATCAACTGATTTTATTGACTGGGCCCATTAAGTCCCATTATGAACGCATCAGTCAGGAGATTTTAGTAATTAAATACCACAAGATAAACATTGACGGGACAAATGAAGCAGGGGCATACCTGTCAATCACTCTGATTGACGTTTGAACACTGACAATAACATGAATTAACAGACAAAGAAAACAATCATAATGGAATTTTTCTATCATTCATTCTAAGTGCCCAATCAGTATTGACTATTTACCACTAAATTTCATTTTAGCGTGTCTATTATTAATAATAGATTTATTTTTCTATTATAACCCCGCATTGAGAGTTTCAGCTAAAGAAATTATTAGATATATCAAATGTGTGAGCTTATCTCCCAGTGCAGATTGTAAATCAGATTATTAGAAATATTGGAATAAACCATTTGCAACAGGGAGGAGTGACTCGATTAGCCAACTGGGAGAGGGCGACTTGATTATTCGACAGGGAGGGTGATGTGACTTGATTAACCAACATGAAGAGGGGTGACTTGATTAACCAACAGGAGGAGGGGTGACCTGATTAACCAACAGGAGGAGGGGTGAATTTTTAAGCCAACAGGAGGAGGGGTGACTTGATTAACCAAAAAAGAGGGTGGGGTGACTTGATTAACCAAAAAAGAGGGTGACGTGACTTGATTAACCAACATGAAGAGGGGTGACTTGATTAACCAACAGGAAGAGGGGTGACTTGATTAACCAACAGGAAGAGGGGTGACTTGATTAACCAACAGGAAGAGGGGTGACTTGATTAACCAACAGGAAGAGGGGTGACTTGATTAACCAACAGGAGGAGGGAGGACCTGATTAACCAACAGGAGGAGGGAGGACCTGATTAACCAACAGGAGGAGGGAGGACCTGATTAACCAACAGGAGGAGGGAGGACCTGATTAACCAACAGGAGGAGGGGTGAAATTTTAAGCCAACAGGGGGAGGGGTGGCTTGATTACCCAATGAGAAGAGGTGACTTGATTAACCAACAGGAGTGGTGAATTTTTAAGCTAACAGGGGGAGGGGTGACTTAATTATCAGAAAGAGGGTGACATCTTGATCAATGTTAAAAGGATACTGAGTATAAATGGTATGACTGGCTGTGGAGGACACAATCTGGTCTACACAAGATAACTGGTTAAACAAATATTTAAATAAGATGGATAGATTTTTTACTTCTTTACAGTTTATGAAGGGACAGATCTAAACTTCAGTTGCTGAACACAGTGAGGAATCTGTATGTACCTTCTATTTTCTTTACGTTAACAGCTTTCAGACCCATTAAATCAGGCAACTGGTCAATAATAACTTCTCGGTCTTGTCCATTGTGTTTGTTGACTCTCTCAATGGATCTTCTCTGCCAGTCAGTCCAATATATGTAGTCACCTACAAAGGTATGTCATATATTATCATTGAAATATCTTTCTTTGTAAGGGAAGAGAAGTACAATACACAAATCAACTTAATCTTTTCTTAAAATTTTTCTGGCAAAATCTGTGCGAAAAACAAAACTTTTCGGAACTATTTAAACCCTCTGTGAATAAAGGTGCAGGTGGTTATCAGTTCACTATCAAAGTAAACTGACTTAGATTATAATTGTAAATAAAAAATAGAGTATGAGTTTAAACTAGATAAACAATTATCTCCCATGATTCAATGGTACAATTCCAGAGATTGGTCTTTCTTTTCTTTCACACAGATCAACTGAGAAGGAAATACTTACCAAGCAAGCTAAAACCAAAAATGTGAGGTAAATCAACTACCAGTACTTGTCTTCCCTGTGCCATCCATGTTTGCCATTTCAATTTTATCAGTTTTCGCATCTCCCCAGTATATTTTCCTCTCTATAAAGTCCTAATGCAATTCCGTTGGGCCATCCCAAGGATGAATTAATGAGCACAGTTCTGTCTGTTCCATCAAGAGCAGCACGTTCGATTTTTGGCTTGCTTCCCCAGTCTGTCCAGTACATGTACCTATAAAGAGATGAATACGTTAACAAGATGTTGTGTAAAATTTTCAATAAGACATATCACCAAACATTTAGCTTCAAAACTAACAGTATCACACATATATACATACCCGTCTGCTGGATCTAAAGCTATTGCCCTTGGTTCGTCTAAATCTTCGGAAATCAATATTGTCCGCGACGTCCCATTAAGTCTAGCAACTTCAATTCTGTCATTGCCCGTATCAGTCCAATACAAATTCCTGCCAACCCAATCTACAGCCAATCCATCTGGATGCTCCACCTCGGTAGTCACAATAAATTCACCACCTGAAAACAAAATGTAAATTTGTTTTGACCTTCATAAGAAGAATGAGCAACGCCAGATGATGGCTACAGAGAACACCAACGTTAAAATGTGTACCGTTAAAATCCTATTATAAACCGCGGTTTATATTACAATGTATCAAATAAAAAATTGGGATCAACAGCTCAAGTTCGGGGTGTGGTTTATATTAGGGACATATTGCAATCACTAAATGGGCATGGTCATTTTTTCCCCCCACATCACTCGCACAAAACTAACAATACACCGTACAATCTTTTGAATATAAGCGTAACTTCAATTTAGATGTCAGGGAAGAGTGATAAGCCTCACGTCACAAAAAAACTGTTCACATGAAAAAAAAAATACTCTGTATATTTAATGTAATATGCATTTTTATGCAGGTCTTGTTGAATTGGGAGTGCGGTTACTAATAGGTACTTTTCATGTTTTCAATTTCTGTTGAGAACTCTTTAACACTGAAGCCAAAATCGGGGGTGCGGTTACTATAAAGTATGCGGTTTATAATAGGATTTTAACGGTAATCAATCGTATACGAACAAAAGTTAAAACAAAGAATTACGACTCGTACCTGTACCATCCATGGATGCTCGTCTAATCGCCCTCACTTCGTCATCTGTCCAATAAATGTAACCATCCACTGGATCATAATCTATTGCGATAGCATGTTGGATATCTTCTAATTGTAAAACAACGTCTGTGTAGTCAGGCGTGTCAAGAGATATCCTGCGAAGATCTGTCCGTCTGGCGAGTAATAGAATTTCTTCAGCTCCTGAAAATGTAAATTAAATTAACAAGACATGTTAACAGAGACAGATGATGCAAGTAAAGTAATTCATTGTGACTTTTTTTAATGATGACAGTATCTTCTCTATTACTATTACTTGAAATGAGAGCATCATGACCTGTCAATCATGGTGTTCGGTTTGTTGTTGTTGTTCTGTTCCGCACTGTTTTACCCTGCACTGTTCTGCAGTATAACACTGACTGGGTCACCCTGCACTGTTCTGCAGTATAACACTGACTGGGTCACCCTGCACTGTTCTGCAGTATAACACTGACTGGATCACCCTGCACTGTTCTGCAGTATAACACTGACTGGGTCACCCTGCACTGTTCTGTAGTATAACACCGACTGGGTCACCCTGCACTGTTCTGCAGTATAACACTGACTGGGTCACCCTGCACTGTTCTGCAGTATAACACTGACTGGGTCACCCTGCACTGTTCTGTAGTATAACACCGACTGGGTCACCCTGCACTGTTCTGCAGTATAACACTGACTGGGTCACCCTGCACTGTTCTGTAGTATAACACTGACTGGGTCACCCTGCACTAAATATTAAAAAACAGAGCCTTTGTGACGGAGGATAGAGAGAGCTACTTAATTATTTCCATGCTTAAATGTAGGCTGTCAATATCACCATCATGTAGAAATGATTTGGTGAAGAAACACTTCAGACCAGATCCCTCGAGACACTAGCACACATTTGTTACCATGGAAACAAAGGCAATCAGAAAGAAAACCATTATGTAATTATAGCTCCTGTCTCTTTTTCATACTGATCTTTATTTCTTTGACATTTATATTGATTTCCAACGGTTTTGTGATGCAAAGCACAAGACTGCAAGCACGCACAATATCCGGTTTCATATGACATAAAAGCAGCCCTGCAAAAAAAACCTACAGTGGGCAACAGATGATTATCCTGATCAACCATCCGCATGTACGAATTGTATTTTCTTCTTTGGGCTGAATGAAAGATTTCAATGTCAAAGGTTACATACTCACCGTCAGCACACGTTCTGCCATTTGTTAGCAGCCTCACTCCAGTGGGACACGCACATGTATACTTTGGCGGATGCGGCGACATCAAACACAAGTGTGAACAATCACCATTGTTCTGACCACAAGGATTGGCCCCTGTAAAAACGAGAGATGACCATTAATATTTTTATTTATTTAGTGTCATGCAGGTACATGATTAACTTTACTCAGAATTATTTTCACAGTGCTCACCACCAAGAACACTAACTAGAGGACAGAGTTGGCTTTGTCTCACCGGTGGTTTTTTATTTTTCATTTTGGTTCTTCATAAAGTTTGGTTATGTTTGGTAACGAGAAGCTGATCAGGCATTATAGCCCTTGAAATTATTCACCAAAACAATATATATAATTTTTGCCATATTCATATTTACTCATATTAAAGTGATTTTCGTTCCAAATTTTAAATAATCACCAAGTTGTTACTTTTTTAATTGAATTTGTATGACATCTAATTGCAATCAATAACGGGCTTAAAACTTTGGCAAAACACAAACCATTTGTCATTACGTATCTTTGAGCCAACACATTCAAGCAATTTTTTAAGAATTTTCAAAAGTTTACGTGATGACAAGCACTGCCATAGAAAACACTCAGGCTTCAGCATATAGCAAATAGCAACTCATAACACACTAGAAAACTTTGTTTTCCTGCTGTGATGGGAATTTTCTTCAGTTATTTCCCAGATACCCATATTTTGTTTCTAACGCAAACAGCCTGGAGTCTGAATCCACAACACAACATACTGGGATGTCATCAGCAAGGTATCTGTCTACCTTAAGGCAGTTCAATCTGAGTTCAAATTTTACAATGTTACTGCACATATGTGCAATGTATTATGCGAGATACCTTGCCATTGTGTATAATAGACAATAATTATCGCACAGGAAACTCGCAAATTTAAATATAAATTTTCTCAAATGTTTTCACAGTAGTAGGATTCATAAAATAACATAAATTTGACATCCTATGTCACCAAGCAAAAATAGAGGGAAATAAAGAAACAATTTTACTATAGAAACCATTGTATAAATGCACATTTTAAGCATTTTTCAAGGCATTGTTTCTTGAAAAAAAATGGTTTTTCGGTACTACTGAAAACATATAATCTGCAATTTAGCTCAAACCTCTATAAATTATATTGGAAGGAAATAACTTAGATATGGACATAAACTCTTGATCGAAAAACATTAATAGTAAATCATATGTAATATGAGTTATAAAATAGTGATGACTTTATGGAAACACACCCCATTCAGTATTTACTGTATTAATAGCGTAATACGCTTATGTCAATTGCAGAAGGATTTCATTGGTCAAAATTAAATTACGCCATTGATTATTTTAGTTATATGAAAAATGAAACAATAATCTCGCATTCCAGGATATGGAATGCACTTTTAAAGGTTCAGACTTGAATTTGAACAGATGGTGTGAATTACTATGTCACTCAATAAGTGTCCAGGACATAGTTCAACTCAAAGTCACAGGTCAGAGTGTTTTCCCAGCTAGATAGATTTTGATTAAAACCAAAATACCACGTACAAGGGGACTCTATTCACTATTAGTAGTATTGTTTTTTCACCAGCCATCATAATTTTTAATAAGAATGGTAAATTTCATCCATCAAAGGAACTTGATTCGCATTGAGGCCTTAATCAAAAGTCAAAACAGTCACATTTGATCTATTTTCTACCTAGTCCAAATTATCCATATTTTGAAGTAAATTATGTCACTAAAAAACTTGTTTGATCTTCCACTGAGAGTTACATAGAGTTCAAATTCATATTTCTCTTGACTATAGAAAGAGACTTCACTGATTTTTTTTATTTGAAGTGTTTCATCTGATTTTTAAGTTGCCCATAACACATCTACAAATGTTGTAAAACTAATAACAATGGGAGAAATGCTTATAAATTCACAAGTAAAGCTATGAACCAATAAAAGAAGTAAATCAACATTTAAGACTGTCAAAATATTTTTGTTGCTTTTAAGAATCGGTACCAATGCTCAATAGACCAATTGTAAGCAAGATTTCATAATCCTATTATCCACACCGCTAGCGATAATGTCACTTGTATCATCAATAGACTCACCTGAAGGCTGCCGAACCGCTGAATAAACGTGAATATCCATTGGTGAAAAGATATCTTCATGCACAACTTTCCTGTTCTCGCCTGTATTTTTATGACACGAATGAATAGACCTTGTGTGCCAATCAGTCCAAAACAAAGTATCCGTAAATAACGTTAATGCAAATGGGTGAGGTAATGATCCTTCCGCCACCGGTGAACGATCTGAACCGTCAAAGTTTGCATGATGTATATAATTAAGTTTTGCATCGGCCCAGTATATCCTCTGCGCATCATAGTCTATTGTTAGGCCATTCGGCCAATAAATGTCAGTCTGCACAATAACTTCCCGCTCTATTCCGTCCATCCCGGCCCTTTCAATCTTTGGCGTTTCTCCCCAGTCTGTCCAGTACATCCACCTGTCAAAAAAACCAAAATTAACATGATTATTTTCCAAATATAGTGATGTAAAACCTTTTGCACCACTCGGCGATGTTTTTTTGACAGTTTAGAAAACTTAATATTCTTAGCAATACAGATGTTTTGTTTTCAAATTGTATTATTATTATGTTTCTAAACTGGAACAATAAAAGACAGTGAAGGAAAAAAAAGTATGAAAGCAAGGAAGATAATCTGTGAAACATGAAACATGGGAAATAAAAAAAGAAATTCTTGTATCAATATCACATGTAGTTGGGTCTGAATGTAGGAACGTACAGGCTAACTCCATAACACCATGGAGGTAAAAAGAGAAGGAGTCACAGCCAAGCTTAGATCAAAGGTACCAGGATGGTCGCCGCTGTTTGTACATAGATCAGGGAGTTTATTTGCCGAACGGATCAAGGAGGACAGTTTCCTCTTAGCGCAGTGAATTACCTGTGAATTAGCATACTACGGACGCCTTCGGCGGCACTTGCTGATTTTTGTGACAATTCTGTCAAATTCTTATAAACAAATAAGGTGACGATCGATAACGCGCACAAGTTTGACTACGACGCTGAAATTGCTATGTCCTTCATTTCAGAAGACGTAAACGAAATCGAAGAGCATATTACAGACGAAAAATTGTTTTCCATATGCTGTGAGCGAAACAATTACTCGAAAACAAAAAAATGCAGCGAATTTCTTGTTGACGCACTGCCGTAGGAAGTAGGACATACAAGGGATATAAACTTCAAAAAGCGTCATTTCGAACCTCAAAATTCAGTCACTGGTACAACGCGGTGCGGTCCATGCCATGCACCATTGCAAAGATCATTAAATGAGCTTTATTGTGGACTAAAAACAGTACTAGCAAGGTTTCGAAACATTACATATTGCTGATTCAAAACTACAACGGAAAATGTAGCTGAAAACGAAAAATTACATAAACTTAACAGAATTCTCTGATTTTCAAAATTCCAACTTTCCCGTTCTCACAAACACGTTTCCTCTACGTATAAAGATCTGCGCATGCTTTATGTCCTGTAATATTTACTGCGACACCATAAAAGACCTTGGAATGTGTACTGTGCGCAGCAACGCTTGAGAGTAAATGACGTGTCGGCGAAGATCCTGGGGTGAAAGGACGATAAGACAAAGGGAATTATAGGATTAAACTTGTCTAAAACAAAAGTTTAGAAGGATTATTTTGGCTGTGACTCCTTCTCTTTTTACCTCCATGATAACACACACTACCAACTATTTCATGCACATTACATTCAAATAGAGGACATTTAATCTGTAGCTCAACACCAATGGAGACAATTTGATAATATTCAACATACAACACTATATACAGACAAATCATATTTCTATAGTGGAGTTTTAAGCAACATTTACAGAGGGGTGAAAATTAAAAATGTCAAACTTTTAAGCACCCTTTGTAACCCCCCCTCTCCAAAAAAAAACATTAAACTTTTTGAAAATACTTCAAGCCCGCAAAAACAGCACCTATAGAAATATTTGATTGAGATGCACAACTGCCAGGGTTTTCTAAGCATGTGTCAGTGAAGTAAACACTAATCTGATTAGAGAATGGTACAAATTCATTTGGCTTGTATGACTTGCACGACGCCCAAAGGCATAGGATAAGTGCAATCCATGCGATTGTCATCTGGATTCGACACAAACATTTTCGCGTTAGAGCTCCAAACACTACAAATAAAAGCAAACTTAATTCTCTTGCCAAACATTCCAGTCTGTTGCTTATCCTGTATTTTTATGAGAACATTCAACCCACAACCATCCCAACGCACAAATCCTTTCAAAATTATCCTCCTTTTCTTTCTGCTGCTTTGGATAAAAATATTTTTCAAAAATTGTTTTAGTAATGCCTCACCAGTTTATTTATATGAAAATATGAATAATTTCACATTTTTGTTGTCAAAATGATATTAAATTCTTATCTGGTAACGTCAATTTAAAAAGTACATGGGGCTGGCTGGTAACGGGTTGATGGAACTTATATGGGTGGTACCCAGAGAGTTGCAGTAATATGTAAATTAAATTAGATATACTGAATGTTGCAGTTGTAATAATAATTAAGGTTTTTTATTCAAAGTACATATACTCAAAAATATTTGGAAAAATAAAACTGTTGAATATATTTTATTAGCAGCAACTTATTTTCGCTGAAAAGGCATTTTAATTGTTTTGTTATTTTTACTGATTTTTGATGAGTTGAATGTAAAATATAGAAAAAAAGGTATTTTATTTTTACCAATTTAGCCTGAAAAATATTGAGAATAATTTCCAAGTAAAAAATTGGTATTTTATAGTACTTTGTTATATTCCTACCACCAGTTAATTGAGCAAAAAAAAAAAGAGAAGATTTCTTTTCTTCCAGTGTAATTTACAACCAAAACTATACAAAAACTTGTTAATTAGGTATGTGTTTTACAGCAGGTAAATACTTTTAAAATCATATGTCTGGATGCCTTACAAGTTTGAGCTTTAAGCAAGAAGCTGGACTGAGAACAAAAATCAAAAAAAAGTTTTCAAATATTCTATTTTTGTTTTGTTTTTTAATTTGTAGCATTCATTTACAAATGTCCACTCACAGACAGGGTCAGTTCAATACCATAAACTACACCATAAAACACAGGAACTATAGGGAGGCCCACACTTAAAAGCCTTGTTCAAAATATCCCAGAATGCAGGCCTCAGCCAACTAACAATACACTGAACATATTTAGGACACATGAGCCATTAATATAGCAAGCTAGCTCATTAGGCCTCTGAGAGTGTCAGTTGTGGTCATGATTTATGATAGCCAAGAGGTCATCTACAGTCAGTACAACCACCAACTAAACATTTTGATGCTAAAATAGCTGCCCATACAGATACAGTAACATTACCAGACAGTACGCCCATTCATTGCCCCCTCCCCCTAATGTTTTCACATCAATTTTAGACATCTTGTTTGAAAGACTGTTTCAGCTTTTTGAAAGGAGCTTATAAATATTTTTGTCTGTGCAGACTGCCAGAATCTCATCACACTGAGAGAGTGAGAATGAGCGCTAACGTCAGTCCCATGTTAAACAAGCGTCTGAAAATAATCAAAAGTGACAGATGACCAAACTGGATTATTCTGTTAATTTCTCAAGACCGCACAAGAGGTCAACTTGTTTTGCCTTGATACAGTACAGCCATGCAACCATGTTTACCTTAACTTTCTAATTTATAATAGCAAACCCCTCGCATGTCAACACTGTGAGATTAAAGTCTACAATTTGTCAGGTTTTCTGACAGAAACTGTCAACTTTCAGTCCCTCACCCTAATATGGGCATGACCTGACCAAAGTACATCGCAATTACAGTTTCAAGGGGCATCAATATCTGACAAGAATTCTTTAACTTGGTTTCCCCAGTAGGAGTAACAACAAACACATTTATCTGCTTTTGACATGGCAGGGTGATTTTTTTTTTTGGCTTTGTATTTATTAAAACAGTGAGATAGTGTTGCAAACCATGTAAGCTCATTACACATTCAATATGCGTGTTGCACACACAGATGCAGGTGTGCACAAAGGGAAAAGTAACTTGTCCATTTGGATCATACAATAATTTATACACCCCCTGACTAACATTTCACGTATTTGCAACAATCTGAGTTAACTGTATTTTAGAGATGCATTTTTTTTCCTTGAGAAAATACAAGTTTCAAATTAGACATATTCATGTAAAAAAAAGATTTTTTTTTTTATCGTTTGTTCATAGCCGAAAAATTGTATAAGCATGCATCTACACGTACAGCTATATGTACATGTTAATTCATAACTGACACACAATGTATTTCGCATAATAATCTTCTTTGTGAACAAACCACTGTCGTGGTCTCACAGACTGGAAACCTATAAAGGCTGGCATGGCTACATACCGGTACTCATGTTGGACATTTCGTTTATTTGCTCACAGATTTATTTAAACATTGGTGGAGAAAACGCACACTACATTAACTTTTGTTTTAAATCTGCCTCTCAAAGTTTGTAAATCAGTATATCTGGTGTGTGTCTGGTTCAATGTCCAGGCAGTGTGTGTCTGGTTCAAAATACAGAAAAGATGCACTTTCAATAGAGCAAATATTATTATTATTATATAATACGGTATTATTTTATGTAGTATCCTTAGAAATTACATAATTAGTATAATTACTTACATATTTAATAGCTTATTGTGTTTGATTTACTATAAGACGCTATTTAGTAAACACTAAATTATGATAGGCACAGATGAACTACATTATAAAATTGCTATAAACACATAAAACAGTGCATGCAGTATTGTTTCCATGGAAACCTTTCATTTTTAACACTGAAATAAACTGGATGCTTTCTCCGAGATTGTATCCTATCTGGTTTGTGTTTTACATTCAGGAGATCAGACTCTAATGCACCCCCCCCCCCTCAAAAAAATACCATATATATAAAGGCATGACAACTGCTAAGGACCAATGTGACACAGAGTAATATTACTAGCATAGAATTAATGCAAGGTTAATCAATGCAATTCTGATTAGAGCCAAGCTGCTACAAAAGGATTGAATTCAATGGTTGTCCTTGGGACCTGGTTGCAGTGCATGTTGTCTGGTAAATTAATTACCTATTGAAAACCAGCACAGTGATGGCAAATTAGACTACCATAGTACTCCAAGCAACAGCGCACACATACATTTCAAAATTAGACTTTCAAGTTTCTCCAAGCTCGGCTCACTGCACACAGAGTTCTACTCTCGGAACTCACTCGTTTCTTTTTCTTCATGCCCAGTGACATTGCCTGAATTGATAGGGGCAGGTGAAGCAACATCAAAGTGAAACAAGTCCATGACCACGAAAAGCAATAAAAAAAATGTGGAAAAAGTTTTTCCAAATCATGAAGGTTTCCTTCCAAAAACAATTCTTAAAAGCATTTAAATTAAACACTCTAATGAGGATAGTCCTGCTTTAACATTCAGATGAAATCTGTTCTGAATGTAAAAAAAAAAAAAAAAAAAAAAAAAAAAACTTGTATGGTTTCTTTCTCCAGCGGCAGACATTTCAGCAGTACTTAGACATTGAAAGCAGTACTAATACACATAATGTTCTTTTCAGTCATTTGCATATAAAACTAATGAGACCATAATTCATGTCAGACACATATTAACATTAGTACAACATTTGAAAAAAAAAAAATAATAAATTTGAAAATCTGACAATTTATCCCAAAAGGTCTTGTAGCAGTTCACGGCAATTGACTCAAAGGCTTATGGGCACAAGAAATGACATGCATACTGTACATTAGATTGATCTACAAATTATTTACCAAATCTCTCTTGTTTTCTGAATTGTGTTTGTGCACAGCGAGACAAATCGTGACAAATTACTAGTAGTTGCATTTTTTTTGGATCCACAGTGACATCTATGCTCTAACTGGAAGCAGAAATCACAAACACACACACACACACAAACACACACACACAAACACACACACACACACACACATTACAGTGAAATTTGTTGCTGTTTCCATTTTCCTGCTTGCATCAAAGGCAGAACTGACAAAAAATATGAGGATGAACTATAAGGAGGCGACAAACGCCAGTTATCGTACAGAAAGTTCTTTTAATCTACTAAATCAGTTTGTATAGTCCGAAATAGTAGTAGCAATTCTCCGATATGGAACAATGGCGGTTTTTTTATAGAAAACTTCAACAAAAAATACCGACTCTTTTCCCATAGGTCATCTTTGAGGTCACTTAGAACGTATAAGCCCCGGGTGTCGTCTAGACATACACACTTTGATGGATCAATCTAAGGTTTAAACTAAATAAATCTAGCACCTTTTGAATCATACTAACTTGTCTTGTGACTACACACACTTCATTGGTTCATGGAGGATTCACTTTGATCCTCATAACACTGTGTGTGAATAAATATCACATCACATGACAAGAACTGTTATATACTATTATCTGTCATAAAAATTTTCGTGAATATTGCCAAAATGCATTATTTCACTGGTGTTCCTTCAATTTTTTCATGACAAAATCTCAGTGTAATTTTTTTTATTTTCTATGATTTCTTACTATTTTTTTATTGAAATAGACACAATTTCTTATTGGCCACAGGTTCTGATCAAAATTTGTGAAAAATATGAGCAATTTTGTATAGGACTTGCGTGAATATTCGTCCTTGCAAATAAATGCTCCTAAAAATATTAAGTAATAATGAACATACCTAGTATTGAAAAATTTTTGTATCACTGTCTGATGGCATTAAACCTGAGTGAATATGGGATATTAATTTTAGAAAGTAATGCTGCATTAAAAAACAACAGAATTTGAAATTTTACATCGCAAGGTGTAATGTGCTAAGATTCAATCCAGTGAATATTTCTTTTTAATAACAGTAGGAACAGAGTATCGGTATGCATAATTAACATACAACGCTAACAGTAATTTGGCACTTCGTAGACAGCAATGCCTAATTATTTCACACCTCATTAGCTGAGTGTCCCTCTTCACAGCTGCAGTGAATGCTAATTTCTATGCTTAATTAATTAATTCACACGTTTGTGTTTCTTGCATACCAAAATGTTTTTTCATGGTACGGTAATATTTAAGACTTTTTAAATTCAGCCATTATGGAGATTTTTTCTTTCCTGTGATCTTAAACTTTCAGAAAATATGTCATTGTAGAGCAAAAATATATCCATGCCCCTCCCCTTGTAAGTGCAACAACCTTTCTATTTTTGAAACATTAACACAAAATTATGTCATAGCTGTGGATGTCAGAATTCCCAATTTTTTACTACTTTTGCAAGATTGAAATGGTTTTACATCAACAGAGCAAAGAATCAGCAAAAACACAAGGGAAAAGTTAACAGAAGATTTGTGGAGAAATATTTAGAATAGAAGGAGGGGCAACAATCAGCTAACGTGACAAAACATGATACAGGTTCACCAGTTGGAAAAATACATAGCATTCTCACACGAAGACTGACAAGTCTGTACATTTAGACACGAATATATGTCTGTATTCAGCTACTAGAAAGTGATATCAGACAGGCTGAGTGGTATTCAATTTCTTTTCATTTAAAAAAAAAAAATCAGTACATCTCTGCTTAGTTAATTAAGTTTTAACAAAAAAAAACAAAAACAAACTTTTATTTTAGTCTTGTTTAAAATAATTCATATGTTCAATTCATGTACCAAATCTAAATGAAATTGATGCGTAAATGACCAAGATTCAGTTGTGGAATGGCAGAAATGTTTGATTTCAATGAATTTTAGCATTAAAATGACTGCAAGTCAACTACCTTGACTCGGATCATGAAATGAAAGTATGTGCATACGTGTTACATAATGTATGCAAGAAAATGAGATATGTCAGCGGTAATTAGCATTTTCAGACTTTGTCTGAACAGGGACTACAGGGTTTGTGCTAGTGTCTCGGCAAGACGAGTTACACTTACAAAATTTTAAGAAATAGAAATTTTATCCTGGATAACCTTATTAGAGATTGGACCCCAGCTTGCCTGGAAAATTGGGTCCCTCTTTAATAATTAAAGTCAGGGAAGCAAAATATGGGGTTATAACGCAAACCCTGGACTAACAATAGAATTATACAAGCTAAGGACAACGAGTTCATCAGTAATTACATTTTATATTTATAAAATTAATTAAATCTTGTCAACGATAAATTTCACCAAATTTTGGTCAGGGGGAAAAGTACTTGTCGAAGTTTGCTGGGATAAAATGATTTATACTAGAAATAACATATGCTACACTATCCAAATTAATAGATGGCTGAAGTGTCTGCTTTTTTTCATACTAACTGTTGAGCAACACACAAAGAGTAAATTTTATTGAATAAATCTTGATGATCAGTCAAAAAAAAGTTTAACAAAAATATCTTTTTTAAATAATAAGCATGCTTTTCATATTTTCATAATCTCACTATATGTTTTTTTTTTACTTTTTTCCTAAAACAGATCTATGCCCAAGTTGATCTTATCAGTATCTAATTGCATCTAATTACACGTGTGTTGGTTTCGTGTTTCCACTCAGAGACAGACATCTTGAAAGGATGTTGTTACGCAACGTTCTTCACTTACAAACTACTCCCGTTTAAGCTAATAATGAGACATATTTTTAACGAAATCTCCAAAAATATATGAGCCAACCATACCAACAAAATATTTTGTTTGAGTCTGAGAAATATAAATTAAGTTATTCTGGTCACGAGAAAGTGTCAACGACAGACATGATAACTGATATATACCTTGCTACTACATCTGGTTTTAATTATTTATTCAAAAAAAAAGGTGAAAAGAATAAGGTATTATTAAAAGAAGAGAAACTCACCCTCTGTGTGGATCTAATGCAATAGCCCTGGGTTGGTCTAGGTCCTCCCAGAATAAAACTTTTCTTGAGCTTCCATCCAGGTTGCTCACTTCAATGCGATTAGTTTCGGAATCTGTCCAATAAAGTTTTTTACCGAGCCAATCACAGGCTAGTCCATCAGGCGAAACTAAGCCTGTTGTGATAATATTCTCCACAATACGTGATCCATTCACAAATGTTCGTTTTATCATCTCTAAGCTGACATCAGTCCAAAAAACTATTTTCTCGTTATGGTAAAAGTCTAGTGCTGCAGCATCTTCCAGCCCGCTGATAATGATTGTGTCATTCGGGGGATTTGTGCCCGTATCCACCATTCTAACATCTTGTCGGTTGGCGTACAGTAACAGCGGTTCTCCTGCAATGCACAATAAATAATAAAATTAATAATTTGTTTCTCTTCAAGAAAGAATCAAAGAAAGCTTAGAAAGAAATCCCGTGTGCTGAGGGAATAGGGATCATGATGTAATATTCAGGAATATTTGAAAATGATAAACAAATTATGAATAATCTATTAAATAAGGAGCCACCAGTAGTCATCTACACACATAGACATTGTATACCTACAATAAGCCTACTTAAAAATATGCATAAAAGTCTACACAAAATTGCAACAATAAAAAGAAAACTGAAATAATTCATAAAACATTGGGGAAAATGAAATGCAACAAAAATAGTAAACAAATAAATGCCCAAAATAAACTTATAGGGCATTTAAAAATATTTTAGAAATTTAGTTAACACGGAAAACGTGAGCAAGAACAACTATGTAAATTTCTGACAAACAATCACAATCTAAATATCTAAAATTCAAACCACTATCTTAATATCAATATGTGTGTGTCAATAAATATTATATTTATTTATTTTCAGTTACATATATTAATAAGGAAGGCATCACAATCTTTTGGATTGGTTTGTAAATCCCGAAAATCGACATGGTAAAATTACACCATCGTACAGCTCAGTA